TGGCCGTGCAAACATCTCTTCCAGGCCCTTTGTGTATATACCGAGAAGTGGGCTTTCTGAATCATCTACGTATTTTTAAAGAAGCATGTGGGGGCGCAGGGAAGGCTCTCAGACATGGATCATTAGTAACTTTGTCAAAGAAGAGTTCCATCAAAATGCGGTTTTAAGGATGGATGTGAAGGAAGCCCGGGCTGGGTGATTTCATTTCTGCAGCTCTTGGGAGACCACTGTCTGGGGGTGTGGCGTGAGGAGGGCACAGGTCGAGGCCGCCTGGTTGAGGGCGTGGGCTGACAGAAGCCAGGCGGGACGACAGCGCCGGTGGCAGCCGCAGCGACAAGAGCACCAGCCTGTCCTGGCTGGGAGCTCGGGGCAGGTGGCCCGAAGCGGACTCTTTGCTGGTTTTGTCCGACGCCGTCCGTTTCAGCCACCCCTTCCGTGCTCTGGGCTCACTGCTCTGGCCCATCACCAAGGCGGCTCCGTGAGGCGGGTCCCGGCAGGAAACAAAATGGCACCCTCAAGATGGTATAGCTCAAGGAGAGGTTAATAGAGACCCTTGCCAGATGTGGGCATAGCATAGGGGAACCGCAGGACCTGTGGTTCACCAGCAGGGGTCAAGGGGTCATCCCTCCTAGCCCCGAAGGAGCAAGGCTGGGAAGTTCACTGTAGCCCCGGAAGGCTGCTGCCGAGAGGCCTCCCTCCAGGGAGGTGTGAGCATGGCTGCAGGCCAACGGATCCTGCCCTAAAGCCTCCTGCTGGGGCTCCCAGCTGTCTGAACCCAGCGGGCAGCTGGGGGGCGGGGGAGCCACCAGGGGGTGGGGGAACCGCAGTGAGCAGCCTGGAGCCCCCCCCTTCCCCCCCCCCGGGGGAGACCCAAGACTTGCCAGGGACACAGAGGGGAAAGCGGATTCGCTTTTCAAACCAAGTGAGTCGGACGCACGTTCCAGCTCCGGTGGGGCCCACGCCAGCCAGCCCACCTCTGCCACCGCGGCCCCTGGGTGGCCGATGCCCTGAGCGGTCTCTCCAGCACGTGGAGGGGCCACTTGGAGCCTCCAGCGAGTCTGAGGGGCGCTGCCAGGGAGGCGGGGAGGGCCGGACGACATTGGCAGAAACGGAAAACCCCTGGCCTCAGCCTGTCCTTTTGAACATAATAGTTGCGTCTTATCTGCATTCTTTATCCCTTCAAAAATGTTTATTTTTAGTTTGGCTTTGTTTTGCTTATTCTACACAATTCCAACAGCTCGTGGTGGTGGTGGTGGTGGCAGCGTTGTGGACCCTGGAGACTTGATGGGCCCTCCTTCTCCCCAGCCTCCCCCATCCCCGTGACCCCGTAGGCTGGGGGCAGCGGACCCTGTCACACGGCCCGTGGGTTGCAGGCAGGGACCCGCTCTGCAGCGTCTGCGGGCAGGGCTCGGAGCTGGGACTCGTTCAGTGTGGGTTTTCAGATGTGGGGGTGCCTGGCGCACAGGAAGGGGCTTGTCCCTGGAAGGGCCTTGACCGCCACGGGGAGCCTCATCCAGCCCAGGGCCAGGTGCCCGAGAGGGCAGAGGGTCAGCCTGGCCCGGCTTCAGACATGAGATTTTTTTTTTTTTTTTTTTTACATCGAAGAAATTCTTTTCATTATTAACTCTTTTCTTCAAGTCTTTGTTTCTAGGTGTTTATATTTTTATTGTATATATCTTTTTTTTCTTTTCTTTTCTTTTTTTTTTTTTTTTCTTTTTTGGCTTCCACGGGTCATATAATCGGTCCCACATCTCATGGCCTTCCCATGCCTGGGCTGGTGGCTATGGCTTCATTGAGTGGAGATGCCATGGTTTACTCGCCACACTGTTTTCCAGTGCTTTTCTTGGCCTCCTGTACACTTGGCACTTTGCCTTCCTGCTGTCAGATGCTGTTGAGGCAGGACGGAAGCGGCCAGAAAGGGGCCAATGCCCCTGCGGAAGCGTCTCCTGGCTTGGCTGGCGCCGGGCTGCACGGGGTGGGTAGGAGACTGCGGGGTGTTCCCGCAGGGGTCGCCTGGCCCGCGCCCGCCTGCCCTGGGGACGCCGGGCTGCCTTCCAGCCACGCTGAGCAAGCCAGGTGGTTCCTCAGACGGCGCTGAGCCCTCCCCACGGCAGCTCTGGTTTCAGGGAAAGTTTGTTGACAATCTTAAAATGTTTTATAAACATTTTGGGGTTGGCAAAAAAGCTGGGCTGTGTTTTGCCAAACACATTTTGCCCTCGACTTTTAAACTGACATGTATTTTAAGGGAAACATAATCTGCGCCCTCTTCAAGTGTTTACTTAATTCACACAAACGTTCTCTTAGAGGTCTGGTATATGCTATCCAAGAAGACTGAAAAACATGTCTTCCTTTCTTTTTTTTTTTTTTTTTTTTAATTCTGTTTCCTAAAACCCAGGGAGTTGGGTTCTTCCAAGAGCAACTAAACTAAAACCCAGGGCCCCCCAAAAAGTACAAATCAGCTTGAAACTGCCCAGGAGATTCTGAATCCCTATCTGATACCATTTTATTCATTTGACAGACAGAGAGAGAGAGGGAATCTCAAGCAGGCTCTATGCTCAGCACGGAGCCTGACACAGGGCTCGGGCCCACAACCCTGGGACCATGACCTGAGCCAAAATCAAGAGTTGGACGTTCAACCGACCGAGCCACCCAGGCGCCCCTTGACTGCAATCTTCAGCGTAATTAATATAGCCCACGCATGTAGATATTTGAACTCATCAATTTCCTTCTCTGTGAAATGGATCTTAAGTCAAACATTCCTTTGATTCTATTGGTTTTCTGGTCCCTGGATTCTTCTAAAAATACACTCAGGTTCAGTTTGCTATCAAGAGTGGTTATCCGAAGTGGAAACGTGTTGACCTGAAGGACAGGCCTCCTATGATGGGGCACCTGACAGCTTCCAGAGCTTCTCTGTGAGCCTTGATCCCACAGCCACGGTGACAGTCAAAAGACTGACAATTGCACTGTGAGCAGTTGGATGGGCAGGTGCACTTGGCCAAGACCCCAGGCTCTGTGTGGCCCTCCCTCTGCCCTAGACCTCCACCCTTGCTGTATCCGTGCGGGATCCACCATTTCTGCCAAGCACCTAAATTCTGGCCTCGGGGTCCCTTCTTGGATTGGTGTGTGACATCTTCTGTTGCGGGACACTCTCCTCTCTCCTCCCCACGTAGGCACTGTGACACCCAGGCTTCTGCTCTGTTGACCCTTGTCATGCCCTGTCCAGCACATGTCCTGTCGCTGTCTGTCCTTCGGGGCCAGTACTCTCTTCGAGGGCAGAGAAAATGCCTTAGTCGTTTCTGCTTCTGTATTAGTTCCCTGCGGCTGCTCTGACCACTGGTCACACTGGGTGCCCTAAGACACAAGTTTATTCTGGTCCGGTTCTGGAGGCCAGAGATCCAAAATCGGTGTCGCTGGGCCAAAGCCGAGGTGTTGGCAGGGCCACTGTCCCTCTGAACCTTGCAGGGGAGAGCTGGTCGCCTCTGCCAGTTTCCGGCGGCCGCTGGGTGCTCCTTGGCTTGGGTGGCATCAGCCATGTTCAGGGCACCTCTGGTCACTGCTGTTTCCACAGCGGCTTCTCTGTGGGTTCCTCACATCTCCTTCTGCCCCTTCTTACAGGGACACTTGTGGTGGTATTTCTGGCCACCCTGAGAATCTAGGATACTGTCCTCATCTCAGAATCCTTCATTACATCTGCAAATGT